TATAATAAAACATTGAGAATTTTTTGAAATTTTTTTTTGAATAAAAAAAACACTTTATTATTAAAATGATATGAAAATTGTAAATATTATTATATATTGCTTATATGTCATTATATTTTCGAGATCGATTCCTCTCTTAAGGTATCTTCATGCTAATATCAATCTCAGGATATTTTTTATTATTATTATTTAAAAAATTTTTTTAAATTAAAAATTTATATATATATTATATTTCAATTATCGCGCAGCTAAAGTGAATAGAAAACTACATTATTCTAGTTAATCAAAAAGCCGTCAAAATCTAAAAATTAAAACATAAAATTAAAATATAATGCATTATAACATTATAATGCGCATATTATCAATCTAAAAAAATCGTGATAATTGCATTTCATCTGCAAAAGTGTATAATTACATAAAATTTTTATTAACAAATATTATTGTAGGTTAATTATAGATTATTTATTATTAAATCTTATTTAATATGTGTTTAATATGAGTCATGTATATTTAATCATTATATTAGATCTCAATATTTTTTTGATAGATTTTTTGATAGTTTAATTCAAAAATAAAATAGCTTTGAAAGTGTAACAGTTTTTGCATGTATTATAGCAAGAGGTTTTTATGCAAATATGGTAAGATTTTATTTATTTTAATTTTTTATTTTTATTTTAACTCTTTATTTACATAGAGATGAAAATAGTTAAATCATTATAATCAATTCATTTATGTATATATTTCATATATATTCTTATATATTTCTTTTTTAAATATATCTACTTTTACATTGAATATTTGTGTAATTTATGTAATATATTTTAATTTTATGTTTAATTCAAAATTAACATTGAAAATATTTCTTATAATTTAGTTTTTTCGAAATTGATATGTTTGTCATATTCAATGTATTCTAATTTATAAAAATATGAATATCTTTCTTCTCAATTTTAATAAATCGAAATTATTAGTATGTCATTCGATTGCCAAAAATCGTTAGATACTGTTTTTTATAAAAAAATATATTATAAAAAAATATATTTTATAAAAAATAATATGAGCTAGCTATAAACATGATTATATTTTTTAGATAAAAATTTTAAAGTGATAGATAATATTTTCGTTTCAATTTTTAAATCTTATGAACTTATACATTTATAAATTTATGAAATATAAACATAGATTTTTATTTTATATTTTTTAAATAATTTTATTATTTATACTATGTTAGATTATGATATGTTAAATAGCGTAAAAAATTCTTTATCTTTTTTGAATTTGATATTTGAGAATATGTGATATAAAATTCTGTAAAATATGATGTTTATCCTTTTTCTTGTTTGTATCAATTAACAATTATTTTCTGCTGTTGATATAGAAGATTTCTTCTTCAGCAATATCTTTTCAAGATAGTGCTGCCATCGCAATGAAAAAACAAATTATTATTTAAGTTTATATTTTATTTTTAGTGAAATATATTACAAAATAAATTTCAATCTACGAATATTTCATTAAAAAATCTTTTATTTTAAAATTTGCTAATAATTTAACAAAATTAATAATTGAAAACAATCGAAAAATGATATATTCTGATATAAATGATATATAAAATCATAAATTTCGGTTATTTCATTAATCTTATAATTAATTAATCTTAAAATATTCAAATCTTATTTGAATAATTCTATTAGAATACAATATTTACAATTTAAGATACAATTGATTATCTTTTAAATTAATAATTTTTAATTTGTGCATTGTGGTTTAGAAAGATCGTGAAGTATATTATGAATTTTTTAGAAGATTATTTTTAGTTAATGATTTTTAGTATTAATTTATTTTAATGTAATTATATTGTCATTATATATATATATATATATATACACACACGTATATGTATATATTCTTTTATTTAATTTAAAGAGTACTATTAAACATTCCGCGGCGATAAAACTATATTAATTATTTTAAATTTTCTAATCTTATAGAAAAACTATGGAGAAAGATGTCACATATTTTTTAAATATTACACAATAGAAAAAAAAAACACAATAGAAAATAATACATATATAAAAATCAAATCGCATAATATATATAAATCTTGTACGATCAAAAAAACGATAATTATACTTCTTATCCACTAAAAGATTAATAAAATAATTTTAAAAACATTTTAGATAATTTAAATAATAAGATTTGATTGTAAATTTTTATCAAATATGTAAAAATTATCTTTATTAAAAATTTATAATTATAAAATTAAAAATTAAAAAATATAATTATAAACAAATTTTTAAAGAACCACATATATTATAATATTTCATCACTTTAAATAAAGGATAATGAAATAAGCGGAATAAAATTTTGTGTTTTTTTCCAGTTTACATGTTCATATATTTTGCTAGCATAAAAAATAAAACATGACACAATTGTTAGGAATTCGGTATGCGAAACAATTTCATGGATGAATTCGAGGAACTTGTTTGTTTCTTGCATCTGCATACAACTTTTCATCTTTTATTATGTAGATATACACGCGTATAAAAAGAAATACAATGAGAAGTATATAAGGTATATAAAATTCGTTCAGCAGTAATAAGGAAAACATGAAATAATTTTTCACTTGATCGATAAAAAATATTTTGAATGAATTTTTTCTTTAATCTTTTTTTGACAAAATATATATATTCCGATAAATATTTCTGATTTTTTATGAAACAATTATAATAAAAAAAAAAAAAAAATAAAATAATTAATCATCTCACAAAAGAACAAGTATTATTAAAAGAAATAATAACTGTTTAATTATATTCTATTTTTATTGGTTAATTACTATATAGATATTATATCACATATTATACTATGTATATAATACTATATAGTATTATATGTATAATATTCAAATTGATTTTTCAATTTTCAAATTTAATTTTATTCTCAGTTTAGCATTTTCGATTTCTAGAAAAAGAATAAAAATTAAAAAAATATAATTCTTTATAAATAGATTTCTTTTATATTTTAAAATTTTTTTATATTAATAAAAATTATAATCGATTAACTATTTTTCAATTTAATTTGAAAATTAAAAAATAATCATTATAATAAATAAGCTATCTATTAATAGAATAAAATAGTAAATACAGTAAGAAATTAATATATAATGATAGTTAGATAAGTTTAAATTTTTGAGTCTGTTCGACTCTTAAAATCTTACATGATTTGAGTTCAAATCGACGTAAGTCAGATTGGATTCTATCTATAATAAAAATTAAATTAATTGTACGAAAGGACCTTAATTTATAAATAATTTAAATAAAATTACTAAATAATATTGTATATTATTTTAGCATAATAGTGCATTAAATTTAGAATTTAATTATATTAATAAATTAATTAATAAATAATAATTTCTATTTTTAATTTAATTATTTTAATAATTATAGTTTTAATTAGTGTTGCGTTTTTAACATTGTTAGAACGAAAAATTTTAGGATATATTCAGGATCGTAAAGATCCAAATAAGATTTTATTATTAGGTTTATTTCAACCTTTTAGTGATGCACTAAAGTTATTATCTAAAGAGTGATATTTTTTTAATTATTCAAATTTGTATATTTATAGGCCAATAATAATATTTTTTTTATCATTAATGTTATGAATTTTATATCCATGAATTTATTCAATATATTATTTAAATTATAAAATTTTATTTATAATATTAGTTTTAGGAGTTTATCCTGTTTTATTTATTGGATGAATTTCTAATTGTAATTATTTAATTTTAGGATCTATACGATTAGTTGCTATAATAATTTCTTTTAAGATTAACTTATTTTTTATAGTTTTTAGATTAATAATGTTGATTGAAAGATATTCATTTTATGAATTTATTAATTATCAGAATAAAATTAAATTTTCAATTTTATTATATCCATTATATATTTTAATATTTATAAGAATATTAATTGAGTTAAATCGAACTCCATTTGATTTAATTGAAGGAGAATCAGAATTAGTTTCTGGGTTTAATGTTGAATATCTTAGAAGAATATTTGTTTTAATTTTTTTATTAGAGTACATAAATATTATATTTATAAGATTAGTATTGACTATAATATTTTATGGATTTAGATATTGGTCATTAATATTTATTTTAACATTTATTTTTTATATTTGTTTAATTATTTGAGTTCGTGGAATTTTANCCGGATTCGATTTGATAAGTTAATATATATATGTTGAACAGAAACATTATTATTAGTAATAATTTATTTATTATATCTATATTTAATTAAAGAATTAATAATAATAATAAATTATTAGATAGAATTATAAGATAAAATA